ACAAGTGATCGACCTCCATAGATTACGCTGGTTGGGACATGTGCTACGCATGTCACCAGAAAGGTTGCCACGGCGAACGATGTTCGCCGAAGCAGATACCGAGTGGAAAAAGCCAAGGGCGGTCAAGCTAAGACCTGACATGATGGTATGAAAACCCTAACCAGGAGACTAAGTCACATAGGCCCCGTTAGGCTCCCTGGCTGGGGACCTCGGGATGACGGTCACTGATGGTTAGAGACACTGAGTGATATGGCTGGGTGTCGCAAACAGTGGCGCTCGTGCATCCACTCGTTATTTTCCTAACACACTCTATATGTATTCCCCATCTTCCGCTTGAATTTGCTTCGACATTTCCATCTTCATTTCGCAATTTTATCCAAATGGGCAACCAAAAGACAGCAACCAAAACCCGCGCACGAAAGTGCATGGTTAATGGTTGTAAAACTGAAACTGAAACTGAGCTCCCAGTGCAACTATGTGGAGCTATAAAAACCATCATGAGTGATAAACAACAGCTTTGCGGCTGATTGTTTTGGTACCGCATCTGCACGCTTTCGCCCACTATCTGCAGGTGCTTTACTTCTTCCCTCGTTTTCATTATCGTGTGACACAAGACAACACGGCCAACATAGTTCAACAATTTAACGATGAATATTGGTTCTAATTTATGCACTGCTGAGGACGGCTACCAATTAATCTTTTGGCACGTCTCTTTGAGCACTTGTGATTCTGGTCACTTGGGCGAAAACGTGCCACCTTTGATTCTGGTGTGGTGCACCAACTGGTTAGGAAAGAACATGTCAACCTTCACAATTTGCACTGGCATTCCGTTCTGGTATCGAATGATGGCAAAGCATCTGATTCGGGGTCGAGTAATATTCCACATTTCTCGGCCAGTGATGTTGCCTGCAATAAACGACAGTACATAAGCTTTGGATCCTTATGAATGTTGTACAATTCAGCACAGGATCACTGTACCATGGACGATGTCGAAATTAACAGTGATTTGAAGCAGAAATAAGAGCATTTGTCGGACATCATTTCTTTCTTCCATCTAACTGTATAACGAGATTGACACTTCCAAACCATCACATGGTGACATTTGTTATATTGAAACTTAATTGCTTCGCTGGTTAACACTTCCGCTTTGGTTCTTTTGCACGTCACCGATCTCCATTGACTTAATCGTTTGTAAGATTTACGTTCCGTTGTACCGGTAAACTCATTGTACTTTTGCCGCAACCACGATTCTTTTTGTTAAATTCGGTCGTTACATGGTTGAACACGAGTTACGGGAGTTATTGGGAAGTTCATGACTGACCGTATTTGGCGCGTTAGACTTAGCAACGGGACAGGTTGTCCTGCGGTACAACGGCAACCACTCCAGATTCTGAACTGCAAACTTCAATCCAATTAGGTAATTTGTGAACAAATCCATAATCCGCGAGCAACCGTAGGATAAACTAAAAGCATTTATCTGGTATAACAAGATCAGCAGACGCGAGATTTCAGAAGTGTAAACTGGAGTGGTAATAACTTTGTTTGTTACATCCAGTGAAGAATGTTGTTTTTTAAAACAACCACTACTTTTGTCTCGCTAACCTTCCAGATACGAATGTCACTCAGATCGTTCCCAACAATCAGCCACACCCAGACCTCTAAGACAGCTCCGGATATCCTCCACCACTCCCGGTACTTACACCAATGGATGATTGATTTCGTCCGTCTACACACTGCTCGTTGGTCTCTGTCTTTTTGATGCTTCTATTTCATGTAAGATGCCTGTTAGTAAGCTGAATAGGGAACTAAATCTTGGACTCCACTGAAAGCAATAGAGGAGAGTGTGGAATGAGATTCCAGGATTATCAAGTTAGCGCGACTTATGTCCGCCTACAATATTAGATGTAGGAAACGGAAAATGAAGATGGAGATTGTTAACCTTATGCGAAAACGCTGTCCTAGCAGCGGTAGAATTTCACCGATCGATCGAAGGATGTGACGCGAGATCTAGCGAATTCAGCAGGCAAATTTTCTTATTTTAATTTGAGTACTAGAGGGGAATTCAGGTTATCGTGTTGTCGAACAGCACTTAATCTATTTTCAAGCTTCCAACCGATAGTTTCAGTGATTTCAAGATCGCGGTGATACAATGACAATGCAGCAGCTGTGGACAACTTGAGCGCACAAGGCTTATTTCACTGTATTGAGAAAATTCAGCGGTTTATCGCCCAATATTAATGAACGTAATGGAAACCTGTTGCGAATTTTAAAACGATGTGAAAATCTTAAACTTCGTTGAAAGCGCTATCTTACACAATGTCACCATTTAACTGGAACCAAGGGGTGGAGAATATGATCGAAGGTTGACTGACTACCTTCTCATCCTTATCAGTATAGCCTCGTTATTGATTGAAAGACCTTCCGTAATTAACAGGTATATAGGCAAATATCAGTGAGAAGGATGTCACCACAGCAGCAAAAATAGTTACCAGTAAGAACAAGTTTAGAATGCATACAACGGGATTGTATGATCAACAACCTGAAAAGGGAGAAAAACCACGATCCACCACGCTTTAGCATGAACTATGCATGGCATTCAAAAACAACTTGCATAGGTCACAACGCAACTTCTTCGACTTTACGCTGCTGACCAAGTTTTGAAGAGTAAACTAGTGTTGCAAATAAAGTTAAGGCTGCGTAAGAGACAGCTACCAAGATCTGTGGCCAAATCAAATTCCATCCCATTTGATACACACCACTGTGTGTATCCAAATACGTATCTGACGGTACAAAACGAACGGTGTTATAAACAAAATTGACTAACCCAGTGACCAAGTTACATACCAGAAAGTAAAACATTCCTTGAGAGGAGACCACAAGCGACAAGGCTGATGGTTGACAATGACCCTGAGAAATAGAATACGAAAGCACACGTAGAAGCCACGAAAAAGAAGTACAGAAACAAAGCATGAAAAGGATGAACAACACGTATCCTGGGCTCGCGAACCGGCGTGATATATTCGCCATACCAAGTTGATAGAGGATGCTGCCTGAAGTCAAGACCAGGAATGTATGCGTAGCAGTGAAATAGAAGGCTTTTGAGGAGGCAGTTATTCGTGAATGTTCGAGTTGACGACAGGCGTGATAGCAACCAAGACAGAGAAAATAGATCGATAAGTAACCCGGCAAGGAGAGTAAACCTTCTGCATTTGCTGCAAACACAGAACTGGCCCGTGAGTCTGATGAAGGCCATTTGGGATTGCTTTGTATCAGTGGTTTTACACGGATATGGATGGCGTGGGAAAGAATGCAGAAGGATAAACCGGTTATGAAGCAAACTATCGTCCGTGCAGTTTTGGACAGTTTACCTATACACGGTGTGCAAATCAGAGCAGATGCTAGACGAACTAGTGCGAATGTGACAAAGAAGTTCCAGTGAACACCGTATTCCTCCACAACAGACTGGTATCCTAAAAAAGATACTGATAAAAAACGAACTAAGCCGAGAATGAGACTCGGTAGCACGATCCGTTTCACAGTATACCAAAATTTGGTTCCTTCCGAGAGATTAAACAGTGCCTTCGATCCCGCAATACTACTGGAAGCGAGAAACAATCCGGTACCCACGTCCATCAAACCCAATCCGTAGGTAGAATTTTTTGCGAACCGCCGGGGGCAAATAGGGAGATCAATAAGCATGATCATTAGGCAGCTAAGCAGAAGCACAGTTGTGGCTTTATCGCGTGACTGCACAAAATCCAACTTTGTAAATCCCGTCAGAGAGCGCCTTGATAGTTTAACAAAGCACAAACTGAAGGCTAAAACCCCAAATAAAATTACAATTTGGATTGCATGATCGGCAGCAATCGTCAATAAAAATATCACTGGACAGACTACGCAGAAGAAGTCAAACAGGAGGTTCCGAAGGAGCCGATTAAAGTTGAGGCCAAAATAAGTCACGACCGTATCCCGAATAAACAGTAAAATGAAAGGGCAAACACTAATACACAGGATTTCTGGAACCGATTGATACCCGATTTGTTGTGTAAACATTTCATGCTCTTCCTTCTGAAGTCGGTCCATGATTTAATGTAAATCAATCCCCTCTTTGAAATGGAAACAGCGAAAATACGATCACCGAGGATATATCTTTCTGTAGAGAAATAAAAGAAAAACAAATGAAAATGATCAACGGCGATTAGGAAGTTATATAAACTAAGGACATGAAATATTTATTAGCAGATGTTTCTGAATATTAATATTTTTCCAAACAAGAAATCAACGATCTCACTGGGTGAAAAACTATCATTTGATAGCACCATCAACTTCTCACTGTTTACACTTAAACTTAAACTTTAAACTGTAAGCTCGAAAGAAGAGAAAAGGATTAAGTAGACGCTAGGAGTAGTGTCAGAGAAACGACAGAGAAAGCCAGAAACAAAATTTTCAGAGAAACCAAGTAGATGCACAAAAGCTAACGCAGTTGACGAACAGTCTTAAACAATCGATTAGCTTGGTCAGGAAACCTCCGATCACAAAGCTTAACGCAGTCTACATGATAAATAAATATATAACGCACAATTTCTTCAAAGGCTTCCGTTCCAAATTTGGATCTGATACCCTGAAAATAAGATCAAGGTTCTCAAACCCTGCTGACATTCCTTTTTTTATTTTCACACACGTCTGAGTTCAGACCGTGTGCCAAAAAAATCATGGTACAATAATCTTGTTAGAAAGAGAAAGATCCATGATCCGCTCCAGGGTATGATACTGCTGGGTTCCCATACCAAAGCAGGTGAATTTGGATAGGGAATTCACAACAGTAGCATTCGGATAACCAAAGACTGACCCGCAAGGTAGTGGGGTGATGTGAAAACCGCAATCCATTGGGGGGGGGGTATCCAGTTCATTGGATCATATGCCCTTTTGATGGGGTCAAACGTCCAAGGTGCCCGATCAACCTCGATAACCAATCCAGACGGTGACCGATGCCACAAGCAGGAAAGCGTGTATAGTTTATGTATGTATGTATGTATGAGTTTAAACACCTTCACTCTGCTGCACGTGGGCAAAACATCCTCAGTGCACACTCGTACACCATTTTATAGATACCTGCTCTTTTTGAACATTTACACATGAACTGGGAAATAACTACTCCAGAGAACACTAGAAGAATTAACCTCCATACCCCATACATGCATTCACCTTCCACCATGGTCTGAACAGAACTGTTCAACAGGCCTATGGAGGATCCAGCTCCTACGCATAATTAGGTAACCGCGGTTAGTTCCACTCTAGACCGGTAATGAAAAGCAAAGGGCCCTTGTGGTCATAATTAAAACGTTTGGTTTGTGGTTCGACCACAGACACGACCACAAGGCGGTTTCTCCAAAAGTTCGTACCTCGGCTATCTGGTCGAAGTCTGCTCATCATCGCTCTCCTAGCGGGAAGCCTATATAGCTGTTCTTTAACCAACAGTTTCCCAACTACAGTTTTCTCTTCTTTTTTGTTTCTCTTCCCTACGTTTCCTTGTAGAACAGTGCACGCTTGGGGTGATAATTAATTTACAGACAAGAAGCAACTTCACCAAACACTGATGTTACCAACAGCAGGACAGGCTGTTTTCAACCAATCCTGTGTAATTGAGGAAGTTATGGTTACACAATCTGGGCATACTTATCAGAACTGACAAGGTTCACATATTTAGTAGTAACGTGACCCTTTGATCACGCCTAGTTATTACAAGAACTAGGCCGAGACTGTTCTTTTCCTTCCAAGATAAGGAGCCTTTCTTCTCAATCGGTCACAATCAAGTGTATCGTCGAGGTTTAGCACATATCGCCCTGATCTGCCGATAGCGATCTTGCAACGGAAATTACCTTATTAGATAAAGCAACCTGGGCACTTCCAGTGGTGTTGCTTTCACCATAATTGTGCTTCCAATGAGCTCGAATGAACCGCACCGACGATTCCCATAGTATAACACTCCTTCTCTGCCTTACTCAGATCTACTTTTAGATTTCCGCAGCTATTGCGAAAATACCAGCCTAAGCTAGCAGTAACTTACAACATTTCAGAAGTTTCGGAATATAGATTTTCTACCATCCCAAACCTTGGTTCTATTCCACCTGGAACAGACATCGGGAAGGAACGTGAGCGAACATCAGTGTAAGGTTCTGTAAAACATCCATAAACACCAATCCACTGAATGCCCATTTGGATGCAGCAGAAGGAGAAAGACAGAGGAGTTAAAAGTAGAATTGAAGAGAAAACTAAAGTTGCAAAGAAAGTGAGATGCC